TCTGTAATAACCGGTTCAGGCATCAGTCGGTGCATGGCATCTCTCAAAGGTTTAATCTCATTTCAGCTCAAACTCATTTATCTAAGAGCTTATCCGGAGCGACAAAGCGAAACAAAGCTGCACATGAAGGTTGATTTAAGGGAGAGTAAAGCGTTAAGTAGAACTAAGCCATTCTATCTAGTGGTAAATCTACTTTCCACAGGTCGTATTGTTTAATGATATCTTTTAGCCTCTAAATATTTATTATGTTTCCATTTGATTGTGATATGCAGATGTAGATGAGGTATTAGTTATGACAACATTTTACATTGCTTTTACTCATCAAAATAAAAAAGTAAGCAATTTTCAACTTTTTTATAAGTTATTTAATTTAGATTTAATGTCATAAGTTGAAAGGACAAACTACGAAGCTGCGTGTAGGCTACTTATAAATTTAATGCAGCAACTTTTTTTTACAGACTTACTTTAACTTTTGGTACATGAAAGTGGCTTGGCTCTGAATTGTATCGAAAATTGATCTCATGACGCAGTCCAAGTTTCAAAAACATTTGCGCGCACACATTCATTTTAACATCTTGACAATAGTGCTGGACCCAAACAACTGTTGATAGGATTAAAAAAAATCGTTTGTTCGGAAAAAATGTATGCCAAAGAGACGTAGGCATAGTCCTATTTAAATGCATAACAACATAGCGAAATACAAATGTAGTTTAAATGGATACTGGGCGTAGCCTATTCTTTATGTTGGACCCTTACAGTTGGGGTTATTTATTTATTTTAGCCTATTGTAAATAGAATTAACCAAAAATTACTTGAAGTAACTTTTTCAAACTCAGAATTGTTTTTTTTAAATACGCGTGCGAGTGGCTAAAACCTTAACTTTTGTTGTCATAAATATATATCTACCATCTTCGATCAAGTCTAAATTGCTACAGATTTTTTACGGGGTGACTCATTAATAGACAGAGTCAAATTCCAACAACACGAACAATCAAACCATTTAACGTGTGTTATGACAAAAGCCCGTAAAGACCACACCTGCGTTTCTAGCAGAAGATCGGTTAAGCAATCTGCACCTCAATACTTTATATCTTCCATAGATTAAGTGCAACATCATTGAGATGACCAAATGATTGCCCAATGAAAATCTGCAAATGCCAGGTCTGTTATCAAGTTTTCAACTGCTATCACATTGGAACGCTGAACATTCACACTGAAGAACAATGCTGTTTAATGCTGAATATCTCTCAGGAAATGAATTAAAGACATGCAAATAGATAGTAGGAACGGGAGCAGACCAAAGATAAAAGAATATATCCTCAAAGAGGTTTAATTCTTTGTTCAAAGTAAAATACTTTACGAACAACATTTCACATTCTGCTGACAAGAAAAATAACAGTAAACAAAAAGCTTGCTATATTGTTTTAAAAAAAGACATAATCTCTATACTCAAAGTAATGAAATTAACATTTTCAACGGTCCATAGAAGAACACAAATTGATGGCAATTACAACTATTACCAAAAAATAAAAAAATAAAAACGACTTTAAATTCTGCTATGCACAAGTTTCCAACAGTTTCTTGGCACTAAAGTTCACAAAATAACAAAACTCTTGAAACATTCACCTCATTAAGTACAATTCCTCAGTCAAAAATGGATTTCATAAAAGTTTTGAAATAAAATTCAGTTGATATAAAAGTATTAAAAGGCATCAACGTTTCAACTAAATATATACATCTCAACACAATGTATCTTCTTTGTTTGGCTGGAAGATCACCAAACACACTATACAGGCACAGATTTGTCAATGCCTTTTTATAACAAAATAAATCTTTGGCATCTACTGTACAAAATCCACATATTTACACATGCTGAAAATTTACACAATTCACAGTCTATTGTCCCACAGTTGTTCCCACACTGCTGAATCATCAGAGATCAATCTAGGCCGTTCCAGACAGTCTTTGGGGAGCTACGCAGGAACTTAGGACACGATCTTCTACCAAGGTCTCCAGATGGAGGCACAGAGCATAACAGGTTGCTTAGGACTTGAAGTCATGGTGGGAGCAGACAGGACAGTTCTTTGTGCAAGCTTTGCACAGCCAGATGGTGTGCAAGAACTGCTCAGTTGGGCATGAGTGAGATGTTGCTGTGCTGGCAGTGATGGATCCTCATAGAGATGCACCTGAGTCTCTCTGTGGGGTGGTGCAGAAAGTAGCATTGCATGTGATTTGTGAAGGTTTCCACATGTTTTTTCCACTTCCTGCCCATACTCTTGCTCTTGCTCTTGGCTCTTGCTAGCAATAAAATGGCTGACTCGCAAGAGACATGTCCTCATTCCATCACTGTAGCTCTGACGTTTGCAAGGTGAGCTCAGGTCCTCATCATACTCCTCTGTGCGTGCCCTTTTTCCTCTAGTGATTTGAAAAGGGTCATTCCCTGATCCTTGTTCAGCTCTTAGGAAGTGCACAACACTTTCCAGGATTTCAGCCTTTTCCACTTTAGGGTTTTTTAGCTTCTATTAAAAGTTAGACAAAACGTGGTCAGATAAAGACATAAGGGCAGGATACAATAAATAGAGTCTTTAAAATAAAATAAAAGAACTTACCTCATTGTGTGTATTCTCGAATAATAGCATTCTCAAAGTTTCTAGGCTTTGATTAATGCGATCTCTTCTCCTTTTCTCCATGAGAGGTTTTGGGACCTGTAACAATCATAGTTTGAATATTATGGTAAAATATCATTCTTTGCAGCCTTAACATGACCAAATCTCCATATCAAGCGCCATATTGCACAAAACAGAAACACAGAATAGCCCAACACTGAATGTAAGGCATAGTCCCTATGTGAATTAGAATTACTTTTCAGAGGACTGAACAATTCCTGGTAAAACAAATAGGCCTAGGCCAAATAAAAAAACAAATAAAAAGTTTTTACCCGTCTCGAGTCTTTTTGTTCCGATATGTCAACAGCTTGTTTGCTCATTCTGGCGATTCACCAAATTCCCTCTAAACTGAGATTATGAGCATCGTTTTGGAGTTCACATAACTTGTCCGTAGGCTAGGCTACTACACGCCTATACTCTCCTCATAATGAATAACAAAAGGAGACGGACCAATCGCGTGCGTCCCTCAGCAAGCCCCCTCATTAATATTCACATGCGCACTGGATGAAAGAGACAATGCCTGTAGATAATGTCGATTGTGAAGTAAGAGCCAATAATGACCCATTTAGCCCCCCACTGAGATATTTAAACGATGGCTATTCAGTTAAGGTATTGCCAAAGATTATCAAAGAAGGTTTGCGCCAGTCATATGCGTTATATTTAAAAGAACCACTAAAAGGCGACTATTATACCTGTTGGAATTTCAAATAGTTTGATTGTCGATAGATAATAAAAGTGCACAGTTTAGCCATTTGGAAAAATATAACACTGCACATTTTACTGTTTCTATGACTTGTTGCCTACTTAACAATAAATATGTGAACGTAGCATATAGCCTAAATCTAAACAAACTATATATACCTCACATAGCTTTTCTACACTTATGAATGTTGGATATGGCATATTGCCTTGCAAAATCCAATCATTTTATACGTTTAATCTCACAATGAAAATTAAGTAACGTAGTCTATCTGTTGGTTTAAACTTTACGGGCTGCTTTCCTCTCTATACACCGATGCGTAACAAAGGAAGACGTGCTTTTGGTTTGGTTGAGGCGCTCGAATGTGACTTCAATTGAAAGTGGTGTTTTTGCTGTTCTCTTGATGTGTGTGAGGTCTTCTCGTGTGTGCTCAAATAATTATCCTGCTTGACGAATAAAAGCTAATTGGAAGAGACTGTTCCAAAAGAAATTCAGGCTAACTATTGTGGACGTGCCGATTACCAAGCTAAAAAACAACAACTAAAAAACAAACAAAACTACAACAACAAAACACGTCAAAATAGCAATTAAATAGCCATTGCATTCTCTGACATTAGGCCGTTACATAAATCTCAGAACGTTTCTAAACCAACCGCGCCATTAGGCTACATTAGGCTAGGTGATCCACCATTCCAAAGCAGGCCTAAGCGTGGGACAATAATGGTTGGCCTAATCGCTCACACTTCTATCAAAACACACTTAACAGATTTGCTCTGAAAGCCCGGGCATCACCTCCTCACACATCCCCCATTTCAACAAAAAGCAGGATGCGCGTGTACGTTTCACTGGTGGCCACGAGCTATCTCGCTTTGGCGCGCGACTCCAAAATCAATGCATCGTATTTTCTTATTTTTTTGTATTTGCTTAAATAAAACCATTTGATATCCACATTAAACGGGTTCTTTTTACATGTCGAAACACGATTAAAAATGTTTCAATAAGGCCATACGCCTAAATCTTTGTTTCCAGCCAATTTGTCAGCTAATTTCTATAAGATTCAACTCAATTTTCTTTATCAGTAGTTAAATTTAAAATGGTTTAAAAAAAAATAAGGTGCTCTTATCCCTGAAGATTTTCATTTGGCATCACTTTGAAATTTCAATTTTAGTGTAGGAAAATGTTATGTAACTTTTATCGCCAAAATTCCAGGACAGATGCCATTTGTCCATGTATCCTTTTTACCTCAAGCATTGTGCTCAGCTGTTTATTCAAAACCATTTGCTGATATTTGCATATTGCAGCTGACTATCAAATGGCAAACGCTTTTTTTTTTTACCAGAAAATGAAGCCATCAAAATATGAATAGTTCGACTTTTTAAATATGCGTCAATATAAAACTTGAATCTATTTATTAATGACTGTGTTAAATATAGCGTATTAGGCTTTTATATTTAGATATAGGCTACTATTGAATGCAGTCTTACTTTGCCATACTTCTGTTACTGATTGTTTAGCAAAGGCCAGATAGAAAGTGGTAGAAAGCTCACGCGGCCTACGTCACGACCACTTCTCCGCCAATCAAATGCCATTCCATAGGCTTGAAATTCCCGTTTGGTTAGATTTCAGCAGTTTCCCACATCAACGAATTGGCGTGAACAGCAGACTGTTTAACTCTCAACATGGCAAAGACAGAAGGCATCAAAAGAGTAAGATCTTTAAAAGCAACAATATCTTTCAAAGAAACATTTGTTTAAAAAAAAACTTTTAGCCTATATTTAATCTAATCTGCTCATTTTTATTTTATTCCACAAATTTTAAAAGTTGTTTAATGGTAGCATTGGGAAATTGAAAACATACTAACAATTTAATATATATATATATTTTACTTTTAAGAAGTTAAAACCTGTGATAGAGAAGAAGAGAAGAGATCGAATCAACCATAATCTGGACGCGTTAAGAGATCTGCTTTTCAAGAACACAGCAGATACGGTGAGTAGACAGACTACCTCGGTTCAACTCAGTTTATGATCAATTGCTTCACTTTATTTCTTTGACAAAACCCTAAAATTACAATGACACAACCCTCTCCCTCTCCCTCATCCCTCCACAGCGTTTACAAAATCCTAAACTGGAAAAAGCAGAGATTTTAGACCTTGCAGTTCACTACATCAAGAAGACCACAAGAAAGACTGAGACAAAAGGTAAGTTTTTACTATTTTTACCTTTTACTTCACCCCTCTGAATTAAGTGTTAAAGGTGCACTATGTAACTTCTTTGTTCAAAATTTACAATTTAAATAATGAGTCAATATCAATCCATTCCAAAGGTGTTTTTGCCTAACCCTGATTCACTAAGTGTTAAATCGAGCTTAGTGAATGTTTTATGAGCAGTAGGATGATCTCTCTTTTTTAAGTTATGAGAAAGAACCATGTTCATACGCACAGTCACACAGAGCCGAAGCACAACCAAACAATGTTCTTCCACAAAATGCATGCAGTTTTGTTTTTCAAACCGATAGAGGGCCAAACCTATAATAGCTATTATTTATTGTAGAAATATTTTGGCTAATTTGTGTCTAATTTTCTTCTCTCTTTCTGCAGTGACGTCTAATCAAATGGATTCTAAGACCCCTCCGAATCAGTCTGATAGGCCTATATCTGTTTCTGCAGGTCCCATCCATGCCAATGACTTTTATTGGAAGCAGAAGAAGGTTCTTCTGAAAGTAGGAATCAGTCTTGATGATAACCTAACCGATGCTTCCAAAGCAGGAAATCAACCAGTGGTCCACACAGGCTTTCTTCTATCACCATCAACCCAGAACTATCACCAGGAACTTCTTTTACGCCCTGAATTGTCTTTGTATGGCTCTAAACTTTTGTGTCAGTCGACTTCTCCCTCCAGTTCTCCATCACAATGTAGTTCCCCGCCATCATCTCCCACTTTTACCAGCGTATCCTCCTCCTCTCCCAATAATTCCCCTGCACATCCTTTCACATCTTGTTCTCTACCTCCTCCTCCTGACCCATTGTCTCCTCTCATAACACCACTTTCACTCCATAGACCTGTTATTGTGTCTCAGCCCATTCTGCCCCACATGGCTAGAGATTTTACCCCACCTCAGTCCCCTGTCCTGGCTCTTAGACAGGAACCGTTTCCTCTTCCAACCCAGTCCACATGGAGACCATGGAGCTGAACTTTTACCATTTGGGTTTTTTTCCTTTATTTAGGCACTGCTCCAATGGAGAAAGGATCATGGTCTCTCAGAGGGACCTAATGGACATATGGTGTGGCTTGTCACTTGTCACAAGGTTGTTTGATACTTTTGTCATGTTTTCAATGACATGTGTACTTTAACTTGGCTATTTTTTGTTTTATCTAATGTTTGTCTTCATTGGCACATGCAATTCTAGCAGTGAAATAAATTATTCTTGTATTATGTTTGTTTATTTTAAATATATAAAAATAGTTTTATAGTAGCTAAAGTACAGTCCTTTCACACTATTCGGTTGTTAAGTCTGACGTCACGCGTGACGTTTAGCCTCTTCCGGGCCCAAGCGCTCCGCTCGTCCACTCCAGATCCTAGACTAAATAAACCCTTTTCTTAAGGGCTTTTTTCGCTTCAGTGCCAGTGGGTGTTACTAGGGATTAAGGGATAGCACCCACTGGCGCCAAAGTTTCTTCATTCGTTTAAGATTTGTAACTTACCTTATCAACTGCAGCCATTTTCTCGTATCTTTCTCGTCACAGGGAAAGCGGTAGAATGACAGTTGAATGTCACTTGTTTTTTAACTCCGATCTATTTAAACAACACGGGAACACGTTAAAACTCGGGCGAAAGCGGTAGGTAGGTAGAGAGGACCCGGCCTTTGGACCCGGAAACAGTATTATCGGAGAGTGGTTACGTCACGACTTAACAACAGGTCAACAACATGATATTATCAGTATTTGGACCATATGGTTTTGGAGGAGCTATTGCAGCCAAACCATTTGGATCCTAAATAAAGATATAGCGTCAGTACTTTAAAGGGGTCATGAACTGGCTTTTTAAATTGTTTTATATTTTTGTCTGAGGTCAACTTATGACGTTCGCTTGGTTTTTACATTCAAAAACATCAAAATGAATAAGTAATAGGCTATTTTCTACCCTAGTTTTGAGCCTATAGCTCAAAAACGCTCGGTTTTTATGGGCGTCTCGCATTGAAGACTTGGAAGTAAACGCCCACTGCTGTGAGTGGATAACAGTTTTGCATATTATAATGAGTTTCCTGTAATGCGCGAATCGGTGGGCGGGGCTAAACCGGCCGTGTTGAAGTAGGCGTTGATCTTCTTCTGCGGGGGTGGTGTTTTATCCTATTTGTCGTCATTGTTCCCCACTTTGAAAAACGAGTCGTTTGCTGAGCCTGGTGTCAATAAAAGCTTTTATTGGACTAACAAGGACGTTTTCAGTTCTGAAACTTACAGGATATTCTTATAATTTGATGACCTCATAGATGTCAAAAGCTCAAGGAAAATTTGATTTCTCAGTTTATCACCCCTTTAATAACAAACCATGAATTAGAAAGTAATAAAATAAATAAATAAATGAACACATTACAATAATTTAACCCATAAACAGGCAATGTGCATTGAGGAACAAGAAAGGTGTTTTTTTCACCCAAAACTGTTATTATTAGTTGATTCTGTTTTGAGTATGTGGGCCACATTACTTGGTTCAAATTTTCTGTGCTCCCTTTGTCAGCTTAACCTAAATCCAAAACATAAGCTCATGGTGCTGGGCATTCTGGCTTTTTGGAAAGTAGTTGAAATTGAATCTTACTTTTCTTCAATAAAAAAGCAATAAAACTGAAACTATTTAGTTGACTACATCTTTTCATTTTCAAATAGATTTTTTTTTTTTTTTTTGCAGGGTTGAACAGGGGTAGCCAACCTTGCTCCTGGAGGACAGAGTTTAGCCCTATCCCCAATCAAACACACCAAAACCTGCTAAAATTACAGCCATGTGTGTTTGATTAGGATTGGAGCTAAACTCTGCAAGACAGTGGCCATCAAGCCAGAGCTAAGGTTGAAGATGAGACAGTTCAGCAGTGTAAAAACACAAGAAATGTATATGGCTCAATTTTAGGACACTTAGACATGTCATTCATGCTGTATATTTTGCATATTACATATTTTTTTTGCATCACAAAACATAAATATTGATGAAAGGGATAGTTGATGGACCCAGTTGACTTCCATAGCCTATTATGGAAAAATATAATTATGGAAATCAATAGCTACAATTGGGAGATTAGATATAATTAATAAAATCCAAAATACATATTAAAAAAAACCTTTGAACATGATTTACTTAAAGGGATAGTTCACCCAAAAATGAAAATTTATTCACCCTGAAGTCGTCCCAGGTGTATATGACATTCTTCTTTCAGACGAATACAATCAGAGTTATATTAAAAAATGTCCTGGCTCTTCCAAGCTTGATAATGGGAGTGAAAGGCTGCATGTATTTGGAAGTCCATTAAAGCGCATCCATTCATGATTAAAGTGCTCCACGCTTCTCCGGGGGTTAATAAAGGCCCTCTGAAGCGAAGTGATGCGTTCGTGTAAGAAAAATATCCATATTTAAACCTTTATTGATTAAAATAACTAGCTTCCGGCAGACGGCCTATATGCAAGCCGACTTACGCCAAAAGAGTAACACTTGACAATGTAGGATGTAGGAGTAACGTAAGCTTTACGCCTCTCGTGGTTCAAACAAACAGGTCTGGGCAACCGCGTTCGTCATTACATACATTGTGCGTCAAGTTCAAGGGTTACTCTTTTGGCGTACATCTACGTACTACGGCCGTCTGCCAGAAGCTAGTATTTTATTCGATACAGTTTTAAATATGGATATTTTTCTTACACAAATGCATCGCCTCACTTCAGAGGGCCTTTATTAACCCCCGGAGAAATGTGGAGCACTTTAATCATGCATAGATGCGCTTTGATGGACTTCCAAAGACATACACCCATTATAAAGCTTGGAAGAGCCAGGACATTTTTTTATATAACTCCGTATTCCTCTGAAAGAAGAATGTCATATACACATAATGGCTTTAGGGTGAGTTAATCTACGGCTAATTTTCAATTTTGGGTGAACTATCCCTTTAAGTCTGGGTTATTTAAAAAGTGACATGATATGATTTTTGCTAATCATTTTCCACTTTTGCCTTAAAATACATGCTTTTTGTGCTGTTGTACCAGATTATAACAAAACACATTGTAACAAAATTTTATCTAAATGAAATACAAAAAATATCAAGGCCTTCACACCACATAGCCTATTTCCATAGGTCTTCCTCCTGCCAACCATCTGACACTTTTAGGGGGCATTCACACAGAAGTTAAACCCATTTTTGTGTTTAAAAACGAGAGGCAGGGCGATGAAATAGGGGGGGGGGGGGGGGGGGGGGAAACAAAGTCTTGCCTACTGACGTTCTTTAAAAGTTGAACTTCTTTTTAACTTAGGATAAGTGCCGTATTTTTAGAACGCGTAATGTGACGCTACAGGAGACGCAAGCGCAACGCGTCCGTAAACACATAGTGCATGTTTACCTAGAAAACAAACGAAAAGCGTGATGCTCTGAAAATAATCATGATTAGAATGCACACAAGACATTCATTGACGAGCCACATTGAAGATCATCTAGAATGGTAAAAGTTTCCAGACTTCACTGGCATAGTTAAACAGTATATTGATATATGAGTTTGGACACACTGGCTGTTGTGGCTGGTACCATCATCAACCATATTAGCCAACCGTGCCAAAATTGAATGGAACCTTTCATGGAATGGTGGAAAACCACATCTTATCTTGGCTGAGTTAAACTTTTAAACGTTACATCAGCCAATACGCACAAAGCTCTAAAAGAGATATAATTTAGACCGTTATATAACAATGGAAAATAAAAATACACACCCGCACAAACACATAGTACTCTGCTGCCATCTTGTGGTGTCGTCAATGACTGCAAGAAAATATTTTCTTGCAAGATTCTATAGCATTTAATGTTGATAAAAAAAAAAAATCATTAATATCCATTTTTAGACGATGCTGCTGTAGCTAATCCACAAACAACATATTCATTGTGTTGAATTTCCATAGCTCCTCTTATAATAGTGTATATGTTGAGACATGTGACAAAATATCTGCCATGTTCAACCCAATACTGACAAAAAATATAAGGTGGTTTTACATGGGCAGGAGTGAATTATTCTCTCCAAAGATTTGCAGAGAGTTGCTCTGTTTCAGCCTTATGGTCAGTAGAGGGCAACACAAGATAGTACTAACAGATTCAGTCCATAATTGAGCTCTAGCTTGTGGACACAGAGAGCCTGGTGTTGTTACCGGTGTTCCTGGGCGATAAGCCGAAGATGCATGACTTGTCTCTCTCTCACAAAAGTCAGAATTTTTCTCTCACTCCTTCAGTCTTGGATAAATCCATAACCTCTTCCCTATCTGCCATTCACATCTCTATTACGAAGCCTGAATATTTTCTGAGCAAGGCACCAAGGGATTTGGCTGGAGAAAACAGAGTTTCTGACATGATAGAACATGTCTTTGGATAATGGTTATTTCTCTCTCTCTCTCTCTCTCTCTCTCTCTCTCTCTCTCTCTCTCTCTCTCTCTCTCTCTCTCTCTCTCTCTCTCTCTCTCTCTCTCTCTCTCTCTCTCTCTCTCTCTCTCTCTCTCTCTCTCTCTCTCTCTCTCTCTCTCTCTCTCTCTCTCTCTCTCTCTCTCTCTCTCTCTCTCTCTCTGCTTCTGCCATCTTTACATTCAGATGCTTCTATCTGTACCAGTGCCATTACCTATGAGATGGCCATTGTTCAATGTGAGGTAAAAGAAGCTAGCTCATAAATGGCAAGTTGGTGTCGTTCTACATTATGACGACCAGCAATAAAGGACTGAAGTGAAAATTAAAAGAGGACGTCCTGCCTGGACGGAGGAATGCTTGCCTCAATATTCACAATTGAACGTGGTGGGGAAGAAATCACCTTGCAAAATTCAGGACAAAACCCCGAAATCCCTTCACAAGCGTTCTCAGGTCACACTGATTAGAGCTGGATCCTGTTACCTGTGTAGTCTTGGTCTTGTTAATAGTGAATGCAAACACATGCATTCCTGATCTGGCACAAAGCAGGGAGGGAGAGACTTAAAGAAAACATTGACAAGGATCCAGCACAGAGATGTCACTGCTCTTGCCACGGTTTATTGGACTCAGAGTTAAATACATTTGTGTTGGCA